TACATGAATTCTCATGTAGCCCTTAGAAAGAAGCTTAAAAAAAAAGAAAAGGAAAAAAATTCTTTCTGCTGCAGTCACAGTTAGAGTCACAGCAATTGTTCAGTCATGAGTTGCTGTTGTGTACCACACGAAAAAAGGCCGAGGTGAAGGCTGCCTTTATTTAAACCACTAATTCTTTCAGAAAGGGGCCTGTATATTATTCCCACCTAGTGTCATGCTGAGTGTGTCCTCAACATTTATCAAAGAGCAATAAGACTATCATACTCAATTTTGCTAGAATACTTTTCTCTCATATTATCTGAGATGTTTTACGCTAATGATGCAGTACCCTACTGTGTGCCTGAAGCACAGCCGATTCACCTGCCTGCCCTACTTACATCTCATTGGCCAAAGCAATTGAAAAAGAAGTGTGATCATAGGATGCGCAAATGTATTTTTTGAGTATTTCTTCTATTTCCTTTGCATTTAAATTCACTAATTTAATACAGACTGCTCAGGGTCTCTAGTGTTTCCATTTTACTTTTTTGTGTTCATTCTCTTTCACTGAGTGGAATAGCCATATGTTCCTTAAAATCAGTACTATCACTATTTGTAGCACCTGCGTTGATGTGGTGTTGAAAATAAAAAAACAGGAGAAGATACTTGAGAAAGCATAATTTCTCTTCCCTGTGCTGTTGGCCAGCTGCTCGGATGAAACTGTCATGCAAGGAGGAGACTTTCCTCAAGGTCTGCTTGCATGGGCCTTGCTGTGAGATGCTGTGGAGGCCTCTCTTCCGTCTGCATCTCATCAGGCCAGACCTAGTGCTGTTATTCTACAAGTAAATCTTAAAATTGTAGTACATAGATGTTACAGGACATAACTAGAGCTAAATATATCTGTGTAATGTTGCCATGGAAATACAGAATTTTGATGTAAATAGAAATTTTATGTATCCATCTTATTTCACTAACACAAATTAGCAAAGCTGCAATCACAGAACTGCCATGCCTTTATTTTCTTTCAGTGCTTGGCACTGTCTACTGAAAATGTTTTCTCAAGTGAAAACAGGACATTTTAGCTACTGCAAGAGTATCATGTCATGATCATGTTTTATGTGCATGATATGGTAAGCTATTGTACAGCACTGTGTATCTAACAACTGTTCAAATGTTTTTTGAGTCTCGTCTGTAACTTATTCGTGGGGAACATGACGTAGCTCAGCAATACCTAGATCATAAAGTTAGTCAGTACGCTGCTCTGTCTTAATACCTGGGCCATGATCGTCCCATTTAATCACATCATTTACCTATTAAGAGACACAGCGTATAAATAGTAGAGCACAGGTTATCTGTTTTGCAATGAGATCACACAATGCCCAAAGCTGTACTCATAACTGAGAGAGACAAACAATTACCTTTCCATTTATGCTGCAGAGGCACTGCCTGCAAAGGATCAGTGGATCTCTGGATTTCTAAATCAGCATAGTTTAACTCAGAATGCTGTTCACATATATACAAGACAATATAATTACCAAGTAGTCTTCAATACCAGAAGCTATTATGCAGAGCTGAGGAGCAGAGTTGTTGGGACTGGTGAAAATTTACAAATAAATTCCAGGGTATTTATGAAGTAAGGGAGCAGTGCTGAAAACGGACATGGTCGTGGAGGTTGCTGCATGTGCTGGAAAGCTTTAGTAACAAGGCTGGTTGGAGGCCGGTACCTTTTACAGAAGTCCAGCGAGCGGTCTCTTCCCTTGGATGGCTGGAGATCCACGAGGCTAGCTGGTACTTTTGTGTGACTGAGGAATGGGATTTCTGCATCAGTGAAAACACTGGGGATTTTTTTTTTGTCCATTTTGCCCTTTTATCTATTAGTTCACAACAAAATTATTGACCCTCTTGGCCAACTTCAACAAAATTTGACAGGGTGCTAGGTCTGACAGTCGGTCTGTTAAACCCATGACCTGGCAGCTTGAGGCAGCCCCAGCCACACGCATGGCTGGTCTGAGCACTGTGGGTGTCATCTTGTGCCCAAATGTGAAGGCAAGCAAAACAAACAGCAGGAGAGGGAGGACAGAGCAGCAGGGACTGAGATTAGAGATTGCAGCAACCATGAAGGGGTCTCTGTGGACTGCAGGAATCTAGGGCTAGGATGCTGGGGAGATGAGGGGTGGTGTGGTGGAGAGGGTGGGAGGAACTGTGCGTGCTGTGAGGAGGGGACACGAGAGAGAGAGCTCAGAGGGTTGCAGTGGCAGTCTTTGAAAGACATGGGCTACATTATTGAGGGAATTCACATGTGTTGGGCACCCCCGTCCTGCGAGTCTTCTGCAGATGATAGTCTGGGTGGAGAAGGGAAATTTCCCTACCTGGGGTGTCATAAGTTTGTAATAAAAAAAGAGTTCCTGCTGCAAGTTCATTACAAATCTGTTAAAAAGTCAGTCAGTCATGATGTACATGCATGGTTAGCAGTTATGGTTCTTGCTGTGTCTGAGCAGGAGCACTGCGAGCCAGTCTCACTTTACAGCTTAAAAGGGAAGAAAAGTTGAACAGATTCTCCCGAAGTTTTTCCCAAATTTCAATATTTTCAGCCTCACGCCATAAAACATTTTAAAGATTATGGGCATGTAAAAAACGACCTGCTAAAAGATTGCAGGCTTGGCTGGAACATTTCGCTGCACAAATGTGTTCAAAGTTTTATCATACGAATGAATCGGAAGTGTCTGCTTTTCCACTGAGTGATCGTGAGATGTCTGATCCTTCTCGCTCCTGCAGAGTCAGCTAAACCGATTTGCAGCACGTGAACACAGATCAGTTCAGACACCTCTTTCTGTCCACTCCAACTTGATTGCTTTTGGTGCATGCTCTGTGTGCTGCTAGTACCTCTGCATCTCAAACACATCAGTAGGATGCTGTGGGAGTATCTTTGCTACACTTAATGTCTTCACTGGCAGGTAAAGATACATTTTTATCCAAGCTGGACATGATTATGTGTGGCCGCACAGATGTGACGGCATTAAATGATGTAGCAGCGTGCAATCCATCAGTTTCTGTATATTGTTGCCTGTTTTTACCTTGGATAACTGATGAGCTATCTCATTGTAGAAAACACACCTGGGACAAGCACTTAGATTTCACTGTGAAGTAAAGTAGATGAGAGTCTTTGGGTGACCTCCACAAGCCACACCATGACAAATAATGCCAATTTAGGATTTTAGAAAAAGTCAGCAAAACCCATTTATTGCACTGTGATAAACACACACTTAAAAAGCACTCAGTGTCACTAAAACAATGCCTGGGGAAAGTGCAATGCATTCTTACTTAATGTTATTTATTCACTGGCAACTTGTACAAACTAAAATTCTGGTGAGATGCACAGTCAAGAATTCGTCTCAGATGCTGACTCAGGTGAACACTGTAGCTGTGCTTTAGATGAACGTTCAACTACTTGTCATTTGCTGCGTGACAGTGCACACACAAAGGTTTTTTTAGTAGTGAAAACACAGCTGAGATGCTACTAAAGTGTAGACCAGGAGACTCAAATGAGATAATGTGATTCTACATGTGATTCTAGCATCTTTCTTCCAAGGCTTCAGAGGTTTCTGCTGAATGTTTTATGAACAAGAAATACAGAACTTGCTTCGGTAGGTTATCCTTTTTTGTCTACCAGTATATTACATGTTTTTTCTGTGTCTGTCTATAGCAGTGTAAGAGGCAGCCGTATATTCGAGAAATTCTTCTTTCCATTAGTGCAAGGCAGGCATAGTGTCTTTGAAGGAATTCAGTGGTGAGTGAATTCACATGTGCAGCATGTGCTTCAGCAAGACAGAGGGATTTCTGAGGCTCTGCAATTGGGTGGTTTTAAAACCCTTGAGAATTCTGCTCCAGGGACCTCAAGGGTTTTATAGTTGGCCCAGGACACGTACTGCATCCTTTCTACTCAGAGGTGTCTATTTAATAGTTTAATGGTTGTATGACCATTCTTATCTCTCAGAATGTTATAATGTGAAGAAACTACCTTCCTCGGAGCCAGACTTTGGTATCTCGACATCTATTAGATTTCTTCCTAGAAGCTACCACTGTATTTAAAAAGTCAATAATACTTTTTGAGGTGTTTTTCTTCTCAAATGGACATGCTGCTATCTTTGCCTTCCCAAATTTTAATTTTGTGTTCAGACCTGCTGGAGAGCAGCTGTGCGGAGAGGGACCTGGGTGTCCTGGTGGACGACAGGTTAACCGTGAGCCAGCAGTGTGCCCTGGTTGCCAAGAAGGCCAATGGTATCCTGGGGTGCATTAGGAGGAGTGTGGCCAGCAGATCGAGGGAGGTTCTCCTTCCCCTCTACACTGCCCTAGTGAGGCCTCATCTGGAGTGCTGTGTCCAGTTCTGGGCTCCCCACTTTAAGAAAGATGAGGAGCTACTGCAGAGAGTCCAGCGGAGGGCTACGAGGATGGTGAGGGGACTGGAACATCTCTCCTACGAGGAGAGGCTGAGGGAGCTGGGGTTGTTTAGCCTGAAGAAGAGAAGGCTGCGAGGGGACCTAATACGTACTTACAAATATCTGAAGGGTGGGTGTCAAGAGGATCGGGCCAGACTCTTCTCAGTGGTGCCCAGCAACAGGACAAGGGGCAATGGGCACAAACTGAAGCAGAGGAAGTTCCGTCTAAACATGAGGAAGAACTTCTTTACTCTGAGGGTGACGGAGCACTGGCACAGGCTGCCCAGGGAGGTTGTGGAGTCTGCTTCTCTGGAGGTATTCAAGACCTGCCTGGACAAGGTCCTCTACAGCCTACTGTAGGTGACCCTGCTTCGGCAGGGGGGGGGGGGTTATTCTGTGATTCTGTGATTACAATATGTGTTCAGTGATCCTGTGCTGAGCAGGTTTGCTGAGAAAAAGCTGCTGAAAATTAGTTAAGTGACTCTGTGTCACACATGTAGCAGTTTATTAATCTGCTGCTATAGATTATTAGGAAGAAGTTAACTCATGCTTGACCATAACATCGTATTTGACTTTCTCTTCTTCTAGTACCTGCATGCAAATGGGATTGTGCATCGTGACTTGAAGCCAGAAAATCTACTCTATGCAACGCCAGCACCAGATGCACCACTGAAAATCGGTCAGCAGCATTAAATCTATGCTTCCCTAATTCCTTTGTACCAGTAGTATGTGCTAACTGATGTTTACAGTGTATCCACTTTATTTGAAGCTGGCGCTAATACTCAAACGAACAGCATGTTACTTCTTCAGCAGCACAGCTGTGCATGGTGTTTTTAAAACCAATAGAAAACTATGTGCTTGCTTAGAGAATTTGCAGCCAAAATTGCACAGAACGTGGCAGAGAATAAAATGCTCAGGAGGAACAAGAAGGACCATGAAATTAGCTTACAGCTGTGTGCACCACTTCTGTGCCCATTTTTTTAGTTAAACTAGTATTTTAAAAGGAAAGATTCATTGCCATGAAAGTACAAATGTGCAGATAAGGGGTCGAAAGCAAAGCGAGCGTGGCTGACTTATGTTTTGAAGGCAGACTGGAGGGATAAATGATCTTTGCAAAAAGCATAGTGAAGCTATCTGGAGCATGATCAGCACCACAGGGAGTGTGAGAAGGGACAAGGTGAGACCGGGGTCTCCTGAGCGGGAATGTATTATGCCGGTTCTGTTGGAGATGGTGGCTACCAGCAAAGGGTATGACCTCCAATAATGCTGGGTATGCCCAGATTTTTCTTGAGCAAAGAGGAGCTCTGTGCAGTGCTTCTGAGCAGTATGTAACCAGTTTGGAAACACCACCTCTTGCTGCCTTTCTGGGGAGTGTAGGAGGATGGGGCATGCGAGGAGTGAGTGTTGCCACGTTCGTCAGGCCTGTGTTCATCATGGTTTCAGGAGCCAGATTTCCATGAACTAGTCTCAAGCAATTTAAAATAAATTTCCAGGAAAGTCTTGCATCTCAGGATGATGGTATCATAATTCACATTTTATCCTAGTTCTTATGTTTCCTGGAAAGACTCTAAACAACTGTAATGTGGTAGCTTAATACAGCACCCAGTGGCCTTCGTTTGATGGCCAGAGCGGTGTAGGGGCTTCTGAAGCATTTTCCTAAATGCTGTGATTCTTTGTCTTCTGGTGAAGATTATTGCCTTGTTTAAATTGAGATCTGATTTACAAGGAGTAGCAGTGTTTATAAAAGGAAAGTATATTTCTGTTTAGATAAATAATAATACATAAATGATAACTATTTAATGATGAGTGAACCCTAACTGTGTGTTTCTAGAATAAAATATTAACTATTTTTATCCTCATCTTGAGTCAAAACATTCCTTTTTATATTCACTGTAACAAAACAAAAAATACTAATATTCTGCATTTTTAAGGCTAGATTATCTTCACCTAAATTGAAATATGAAGAAGCTCAGTTTATTCTCAGTGAAAACTGAAAGAGTTGTGAAGACTTCCGTTCTTATGCCTTTTAAAAAATGGGTCAAGCAAGTGCAATGTGTAACGTCAGGAAGGCTCTTGCTGTCAGAGTAGTAATTCAGGGTGCAAAAAGCATGATCAGTGCTTCTGACACAACCTCCAAGCCCCTAGAAGTCTGCTATCAAAATACTGCTGGGATTTTGTCTTGCAGAAGCTGCATGCGCTGACCCTTATCCAAGAAATCACTGATGCACAATTTTTTAATACAAAATTGTTCTGTTAATTTATTGGATTACTCACAGAGTGGAAGCTGCATATATACCTAAACTGTATTTCTGGATCACTGCTTTTACACCCTTAAGCATCCCATTGTATTGGCTTTGTGCCATCTTCAGAATAAAATAGGAGCTACATTTCTGTCAAGCAAGAGCCAGGAATACTCATTTGTGCACACAAATTTTGGTTCTAGATTGCAGTTTGGGTAGGTTCCTTAAATTTATCCTCATGTCTGGAAATTACACTACTGTTAATTTAATACCTAAATGTTCATTTAATTACATATACATTGTAAAAAGAAAAAGTGATTTTACAAGGAAGTAAGAACATTAATATTCCTAAACAATCTTAACAGCTGACTTTGGACTGTCCAAGATTGTGGAAGATCAGGTGACCATGAAGACAGTTTGTGGAACTCCAGGGTACTGTGGTACGTTGTTTTATTATTTACAGTGTGCTCCATTTAATGTAAGGATGTTACATTTTCTCTTTCCAAGGTGAAATGCTTCTTCCTAAAGTCAAAATTCAAAAAGCCCCTAAAAAGCGGAAATAAAAAGCTAGAATTCAGAACTGGCAGTGGGTTAAAGTTTTCTAAACTCGTATTCTTTAGCACTGAAGATTCATAATCAAAACATGTTATCGTTGCATGGAAGTAAGTTCGACCATCATAAAAATGCTGAATTACTAAAATGATACTGGATAAGCATCAGCTGAAATTTGGGCTATGAAAGGCATAATGGAAGACACTAAACATTTACAGAATTTATAACAGTTATGAATACTAGACTATTGCTTACAGTGAATTTATCTTAATTTTTTTTAACATAGAGGAAATAAAATTATTGCTTAGAGTAGGGTCATAGATTAATCCCCCAAACCCAAAACATTTCAGCAAATAAATGGGTTTAAATGCAGGCTTGACTCAGACCATTCTGGTCCACACTGGAGTGGGACCTGTATAACAGAATTATAAGTGCAATATCAAGGAGCACTTTGTGGAAGATCTTGTCACCTGAGGGGACTGGTGTGGTCATCTCTTTCAGCAATAAACAGGCTTTGGCACTTTAAATTAATCCTCTTTTCTCCTAAACAAACAAGAAGGAAATCATAGGTTTGCTTCAGTTGTGCTGTGAGAGTCAGCATGAACCGCTGTTTACCAAGATGACTGTGTATTCACAGTACTTCAACAAACACGAGTTTGTGTATGACTTCAGAGCAAACATTTAACCCGTGGTCTTAGTATTGTATTACACAAGGATGGTAATTTTATTTCCTTTAATAATTTAGGAATTAGGAAATTATGTACTTAATGATGTTGGGTTTACATTTTTCGGTTGGTGGTCTTTAAGGACATTTTCTGCTTGTTTAACTGTGGAAGATGCACACAAAGTTTAGAAACTGTTTTGTCTCAGTTGTCCTGTTCTTACATGTTTCTGTTTTTTCCAAAATCACAGGTAGTTCATGCTTGTAGCTTTTCTTGTAGCTTCATTCTTGTAGCTTTTAATAATGTAAGGCATCTAATCTGAATGCAAGAAAACCACCACTGATACTTCAAATTAAATTTCCACAGAATCACATTTAAGTAAAAACATGCTCCCTCACAGTCACATGGGAGAGTGATATTTTGGTAAGCAAGTGAAAAAGCATAGTACTGGTAACAGTCTGTGAACAATTAGGAACATGGATTTTTCTCCATTGCTTTGGGGAGAAAGTAGGTGGAGCAGAGACACAATTGCTGTACACATAACATCTGGTAAACAGTGCCATAGCTGTGCTATATGTCAGGTATCAGTAATCCAAAGAGGATATAACTAAAACCAACCCCCAAAAAATCAAAATCTAAAAACAGAGTTCAAGCACATAACCTGCCACAGCAGAGAGAAAGCAAGCATGCCACTGATCTTGAAAAAAAAAATTTAAAAGATGGCGTTGACCCTCTGCAGCCGTTCCCTCGTGGGGCCGGAGCATCTTGCTCTGCCGGCAGGAGGTCGCCCCGCTGCCGGCAGGGACATGCCCAGCCTGGCCATCCCCTGCACACAGCAGACTTTGCTTCAGCAGCGGGGTCCCCAGGTCAGAGGGGACAGCAGGGGTCTGTGGGGCACTCTGTCCCGCTGGAGAGCCTCCGATCTGCGGGTGGTCTGCAGAGCTGGGCAGACCCCCAGTGGGTTCGGGTTCCGGCTCGGCTCCCTGTGGTGGTGTGGAGCTGTGTGAGGCCGAGCAGGCAGCAACTGGACGGATCCCTGCAGACTGCGTGGCAGCTTTCAGCAGGGCATCCATCTCATGCGTGGCTTCTCCAGAAAGGACACAGCAACAAGAACACATACTGGAGTCTGGATAATTTAGCATCAAGACTTACCAATCTTCAGTCCCTGGGATGTGCAAAGTGATGCAGAGGAATCAAAGCAAGAAGATGGCCACAAAGAACTGAACTTGCTGAGGCGCTGTGCTTTCAGTGAACTTAATAAGAAGGGCATGAATGATTTCTGACAGTAGCACATAAAAATAAGCCAGTTCAGAGCGGTGATTCATGATCAGTCTGTTACAGCCAACATCCAAACTAACTGCAATGTGTCAGCCAAATCCATTTACCAAGACCAAACTTCTGGAAATAGTAAAAAATTATATTTACAAGATGTATAACTGTGTAATCACAGTCTGGATAACGAGGCAGACCTGTATATACAAGTCTTTGGTCTCCTTTGTGGCCATTTTACAACACTGAGGTGGAAGAGAACAGCAAAAGAAGGGCAGAAAGTGTCTTCTGCCCTTATCCTGAACAAGAAGACATCCCAAGAAACATTGCATTCTCTAGAAGAGGAAGCATATTGGCCATTAAACAGGAGAACTGTCCTGTTTATTTCAGAACAGCCCCCCCGCCCCGGCATTAACAAACATGTCAGAGGGGACGGTGGTTAACTGTTAACTGTCTTTTCTTGGCCTGTCTCCGTTTCTTTCTCTGAGGCCATTGGCTGCTTTGCCTGTAGGCTATCCTGTTAGCTACGGGTTGACCTGAGTTAAAATCAGTTGGGATCTAGTGTCCTTTCTCAAAAATAGCCCTTCTCTGTTATCATTTTACCTAGCAGAAGAATAAGGAGGCAGGGAAGATCTGCACTTAGACTGGCAAGTGTTTGCCCAGCTGCCAGCTGTACGAGTGGTATGCAGAAACTTAGTAATTAATGTCTTTTGCCTTCTACATTAATGCTTTGTAAAAATGATGCGTTCCCTGCATGGTAAATGCTTCAGGTAAATTGAAGAAGTATGAACCAGCTGCCTGGAGGCCGTTAGGGAGTTGTGTGTACTCTGATTAAAATCACGCTTGGCATTAAAATCATCCCTCGGGAGAGCTAGCTGCCGTGACGGAGACCTCCCATGGGCTGGGAGCAAAGCAGGAGCGTGCTAGCAGCCTGGGTCAGTCCGGACTGGCACCCAAAGCTTCAGGCTGAGCAGGGAGCCGGAGTACACTTCAGGAAGCCCCAGCCCTTCTTGGCCCTGCTGCTTGTGGCTGTGAAAGAGCAATGGTGGAAGGTGAAGAGATGCATCCATGCTGCTGCGTTGGTGCGCATAGGTGCAGCAAGTCCACTGTGCCCCAGGAATGTGGCAGCCACCCCCCGTGCATTGCAGAGCCGGTGGGCTCAGGGGCTGTGCTGCCCTCCCATACATCTGATGGATATGAATACAGATACGATGGTTGCTGAGAAGAAGGGCTAGTGATGCATTGAAGTGTGGCTCAGCAGTGTCTTTTTAATTACTTTTTCCAAATTAGTTGGGTATTTTTGTCTGTGGCCCAAAGGTGAGGCAAGGAAGAGTCTTGCCTCCCCCAGTATCAAGCACTGCCATTTCCTCCTCTGGAGACGTGACATTTTCATTCTGCCACCTCAGGACCTCTGCCCCAGGAGGTTTGCCCAGTCAGAGGCGAACCTCGAGGGTGCCCGGAGCTGCGAGCCCTGGGGGTGCGGGGGCCGGCGGTGCTGGAGGCAGGCACGTCACAGTTTGAGTGTGCAACCGTGCGCGTTTTCAGTCACACACAGCAGCAACAGATGCCGTCTGAGGGATACAGCGGTCGGCTCAGATTTCCTCGAAGTGTGTCTGTCAAGCTGCTTGGGCAGAGATTAACTCCTCTTTACTGTTGCAGAGCCAGCGTCCCCTGAGACTGCCTGGCCTTTCCACCTGCTCCACACGGCAAATAAAGCAATTGCTGAAATGGTCTCGTCTTTCCTTACAATTAAAACAGAATACCAAAAATAAATCCCAAATGAAGTACCATGTAAATAAGTAAAATACTGAAGTAGAAGTACCACCTGTTTTGTCACATTGCAGCTCCTGTGCTGCTGTAGCTTTCTGTTGTTCTTTTCACAAACCTAAATCTAAAAAGCAATTTAAAAACAAAGTCTGCTTTTGTTTTTATTCTGGCTGTGCTTGGACATAACTTCTGTTGCTTTATACTCAGTGAAGGTAATCGTTTGCCTGATTAAGGGCTTAAAGGAGCAAGCCCAGACTTTTTGAAAGACACTTACCAAGTATGCACAGAGTTTAAATTGACTTTGTTACTGTTATTTCTGCATCCAACTTCCATCTTATTGACAAGCGTTTTATCATCTGCAGCACCAGAGATACTACGGGGATGTGCCTACGGCCCTGAGGTGGACATGTGGTCTCTGGGGATTATCACCTACATCCTGTAAGTGCAGATGGTGCCACGGAGCTATTTGTTTGTGACCACCTGCAGGTTTTTGTGGCATTATGAGCTGTGCTGTTGAGAAACACAAGATTGTGAACTTAAATTGTGATATTCCTAATCTTATTTAAGTCAAATCCTAGAGAAGCATGGCAAAACAGGTTATATGTTTGATAAATACAACACTTCTTTCTGAATAGCAGCAAGGTCTGTGCAGAATCGTGTATTAATGTGAATGAATAGCAGCGATGCCGCTGAAAGCAAAAATACACGCATAGGAGTGTCGGAAATCATCGTATGTTTTTTTTCTCATTCACACAAACTATGAGATATGCTATGATCCTAAGCAGCTTCTCAACTACAGATGGGGCAAGGAGAAGTTAAGGTGCTTGCAGTAGTTTCACAGTGCCTGTGACTATTCCCAAACGCAGCTGCCCCATCTGTCTCAGCCACAGACACTGCTACAGCTGCAGCTGCAGCACTGCTACAGCTGCGGCTGCAGCATCAGTGCTGCTGTCTCACAGCAGCTTAGCCAGGAGTCAGGGAACAGCCCTGGACTCTGCTGGACATATCAGTCCGATGGGTTAAATGATTAATGTTGAAGTGTTCCACTTCTTACAAGATAACAAGAGACACTGTTGAAGAAGGGCTGCGAGCGATGCTGGCCATACATGTTTTAAACCGTTGGAATTGCAACTATAGACCAGAATCTTCAAACATTTCAAGCATTTAAACACAAAAAATTTGTGTCTAAAGGTAGGCACTTGTGTCTGCATCTTCATATGGCTAGTCCTAATTCAGTTGGTAATCACTGTAATTATTTTGTTATATCGATGGAATCTTTCAAAGGAAGATTATTGAGAAGGAAAATTGTATCTGGTGTATTGACACTTCTCTTTATGGGAGAATAAATAACTTCATTTATTCCCCTGGCAACACCAATGCTAAGATGGCTTGTGTAGTTATACACAATGCTTGCCAGATGCCTTTTATGGGAAGAAAACGGGATTTTACACATATACATTAAAGATATGGAGGATTTTGTACATCTGGGCTATTTTATGTCCCCTTTTAGGACTCAGTAACTCTGTCCAGCAAGTACAGTGTGTAATAATACAATTATTTTCTTTATATGTTTTGCAAAGCAAGAATTATATTTTCTAGGCTTTATAGTAAAAGTACTTGTAAGGATATATAAACACTCTGAGGGAAATATCAGAAAACATCTCTTGTTCTGTATATAAGCTTTAAAGAAGTCACAGCTCTCCTATTGGCTGCCTGTTAATAACAGGCTACAATATTCCTATTTGCCATTTTGTTACCTGCTCCTTTTAAAATGTGAATCTTTCTCTCAAGGCCTTGTTCAAGTCTGAAGAAGATTACATCTCAGATATTGCCTGCCAGGTGATCATTTCTTGTCAGTTCTAGTGGTCGATGCATGGCAGAGAGATGTGAAATTTGCCAGCAGAGGTCCACCCAAGATTGAAGAGGTGCCTTTCGTTGTCCCTTTACAAAGATGTCTAGATTAAGCTGTGGGCTTGTATCATGGTTTAGCCTGGCTGGACGCCAGGTGCCCACCAAAGCCCCTCTGTCACTCCCCTTCTTCAACTGGACAGGGGAGAAAAAAAAAGATGAAAGGCTCCTGGGTCGAGATAAGGACAGGGAGAGATCGCTCACTGATTACCATCATGGGCAAAACAGACTGAACTGGGGAAAATTAGTTTAATTTATTGCCAGTCAAATCAGAGTAGGATAATGAGAAATAAAAACTAAATTTTAAAACACTTTCCCTCACCCCTCCCTTCTTCCTGGGCTCAACTTCAGTCACATTTCTCTCCCTCCTCCCCCTGAGTGGTGCAGGGGTACGGGGAATGGGGGTTACGGTCAGTCCATCACATGTTGTCTCTGCTGCTCCTTCCTCCTCAGGGGGAGGACTCCTCACCCTCTGCCCCTGCTGCAGCATGGGTCCCTTCCACGGGGTGCAGTCCTTCAGGAACAGACTCCTCCAGCACAGGCTTCCCACAGGGCCACAGGTCCTGCCAGGAGCCTGTTCCAGTACAGGCTCTCCATGGGGTCACAGCTTCCTTTGGGCATACAGCTGATCTGTCATGGGGTCCCTTCCACAGGCTGCGGGTGGATCTCTGCTCCACCGTGGACCTCCATGGGCTGCAGGGGCACAGCCTGCCTCACCGTGGTCTTCTCCATGGGCTGCAGGGGAATGTCTGCCTTGGCACCTGGAGCACCTCCTCCCCTCCTTCTTCACTGACCTTGGTGTTTGCAGAGTTCTCCTCTTCCCGGCTGCAAACTGCCCTTACAGAGTTTATTTCGCCTTCTCAACTACGTTATCCCAGAGGTCCTACCACTGTCACTGGTAGGCTCAGCCTTGGCCAGTGGCAGGGGGGGGGCTGGCGGCGCGGGGGCAATGGCTCTGTTGGACATGGGGGAAGCTTCTGGCAGCTTCTCACAGAAGCCAACCCTGTATTCCCCCCCTGGCTACCAAAATCTTGCCATGCAAACCCACTACAGCTTGTCTAGTTATTCAGCGACTGAAGGATAGCTGTTGTACTTGAAACTGAGAACCTTCCTTAAGCAGAACTTAATTTCAAGCATAGGCATGTACAGTAAGAAAGACAGCAAATTCCTATTTGAATATATGGAGTGGCATTTGCTATATGCAGCCTTTCAAAACCTTCCAACTGCTCAGGAGATGCTCCCAAGCCACGTGAAACCTCTGCACTGGTGTAAACACAAGTGTGTGAGCTCCTGCTCTGGGTGGAACACCAGCAGTACAGATACTCCTCTACTTCTGCTTCCTTCTCGTCCTCTCCTTCTCCTCAAAATCCAGTTTCACCTACAGGAACAAGCCAGGCAAAAAGGGTGCTAGTCAAATCCAGTTGGCCATCTCTTCCATTTAGCTTTAACAATATTCCACGTTTAAAGGTCTTCTATTCAATGTAAAGCTTTGTGGATCAACATTTCTGATGGATTAGAAACTGAGACCAGAAATGCACATGTACAGTAACTAATTCATAAATCCTGCAGCCTAAAGGACAGTGTTGCATGTCTCAGTCTCATAGTTTAGTGGAGGGAATGCACTTATGTACAGTCAAAAAAATACATTCCTGTATGTGCCTCCAAAATAGAGTGGATTTAAGAGTTCACTACTGTGCTACAGAAGATGTGCATAAAACTGTATCTTCTCACCAATGCAAAGTGGACTTACCATGTGATTAAGAAAAACTTTGATACATATTTTGACAGAATAGTTATTCTTGAGGCCATTATATTAAGAACTATTGATGACAACTGTCGTAATTCCAGGGAAGCCACATTTATAGTTCTAACAGCAAAGGGAACCAGTCCTTTTGTGTTCTGCCAGCAGTTTAGAAATGCTGCTGCAGATTTGAGATGCAGATAGTGGTCAACAAAAACAGAGGCTTTGCCTGTAGTCAAAATTGCATGGATTTAATTAAAGGTGTTTTTTGTACTAACTTACTTAAAAGGGCCCAAAACACTGTGTGGTCATTTCTAATTGGTTTTGAAGTTGTTTACATTGATTTTTCTTTGTTTGGTAGGTAACTGATTTAAAATGAATCAGCATAATAAAACGAAATTTCATAACAAAATGAAATCAAGAGCAGTCACGCTGGGTCTTAGCCTGGTTTAATTTATGTAATTTGAAATCACACCACTAGTTTTATTCATCTAATTTGGCATGTAGCGAAAAATGTGTCTGCTGAAAAGGAAATTTTTTTTAGGTAGAAGCGTGTCTGTAGAAATTGTCAATAAGACATCAATACATCATAGTAGTGAGTTACAATGAAAATATTTTCAGGAGTAGATAGAGAATTACTTAGAAGGTTTCCAACACAGTCACAGCAAGCCTGAAGCATGGTCTTACTGTATGTCATCAGTTCTCTCCAATTTGGCTGAACCAGTTAGTGGCCCAACAAACCTGCTCAGCAGAGGTGCTTCATGAGGACAGGAGCCAACCTGAAGCAAGTTCAGAAGTGGTGGTGGGAGAGGCAGGCAAATGGGAGGGGAGCAGCGGAGGGACTGTGACCAGCTCCCATCTGCTGAAGTGCACGGTATTTGGAGGTTGGATCCTTGTGTTTTAATCCTTCTCTGCCGGACTTGGAAATTAATAATGCACCCAGAATGTGCTTAAAGTGCATTACTCCTCTTCAGCAGTGCAAAGTGATGCAGCTCTTCCACCCGTGGCTACACATCACTCTCAAAACCACATTTCTTCCTTAGGCACCCATCCCCTTTCTCTGGACAGTAAGCACACTGACTGGGTTTAAAAACGTAGAAACAAGTTAAAATGTAAGGTTAAATTTTGTAGATTTGTTGCTGTCTTGTTCTTTATGGTACGCTGTTTTTTTCCTGTCATCATCTTGTTGCTTGTTGCATTTTCTGGAGGCAGAGTAGAAGACAGACTTTCTGTTTAGCACAGAACACTTACTGGTTGAATAGGAAGCTCACTTTAAAAAGTCTGATTATATGTGCAGGCATGAATAACGTGCAATGAAGCGACAAAAAAAGGCATTGTATGAATGGAAACTACTTGTGTGAGTTTGCATTCCCCAGGGCCAGCTGTGTGGATCTGTGTCAGGATCTGTATTATTCAATATATTTATAAATGCAGTCATTAGTGAGATATTACAAAATTTCTTGATAATATGTAGGTTATCCCGGTAAAGATAAGGGCTGATTATTAAAACCTGCCAAAGGTTTTTACATTTTGTGGATGATAGGATGAAAGAATGTACGGCAATGAACATAATCAAAAAACAGACCTAACTGGACTTCTAAAAACTTAAACTTCACAAGTAAAGTGTGGTTCCTATCCCTCAGGGAAGACTTACAGGGATTCTGGTATTTCCTCTATGAACGTGTTAACTCTGTACTTGTAAACAATCAAAAAAAGCAGATCCAAGGTCAGAAATTGTTAGCAGAGAAATGGAGATTAAAACAGAAAACATCGCTATGCTAATTTGCAACTGCATGGTGTGCCCATGCTGAATGGTGTTTGCACCTACTTCTAAATGGCACACAACTGGAGAAGACTCACAGAAGAGAGCAGGGAAGAGCAAAGTTTCAGACTGAGGAATGACTAAATAGTCCAAGGGACTTCAGCCTGAGACCAACAGAGCAAAGAGCTGCTAGAAAATACTTACTGGCATGTAGATCAACAGATATCAGTTGTGTTGCATGGCTACTCTTATGTTAAGTCCCTATATTAATAGTTCCAGTTACAGACGTGAAAACTGAAAATTTACGATTTGATCAGCATTCACAATGCTTATGCATGATTATGACCACATTTTGCTTTGCTCTGTAGAATCAGAAGTTCGTAAGTACATCCAGGTCTGGTTTCCCAAAGTGGAGTACAGGAGATGAAGTAGGGAAAGATAATAGCAGGAGTTGTTTCTAACAGCCCAGGACTAAATAATCTTTGATAAATTTCTTTTTTTTTTTTATCCTTGCAGGCTTTGTGGCTTTGAACCATTTTATGATGAAAGGGGAGATCAGTATATGTTTAAGAGAATCCTGAACTGTGAATACGACTTTGTGTCGCCCTGGTGGGATGACGTGTCTCTGAATGCCAAGGATTTGGTGAGTAAAGCAAAAATGAGACTGGAGTATCTTTGCTGATACGTATTTGGCTAGTGTCACTTTCACTATTTTGGGGTAGGAGCAAAATGATCAGTTAATTCATTGTTCATATGGCTCCTTGCTTTTCTTCTTCTTATCTCTGGTATATCATTTGCTGTCTTATGTCGTCAAAACCCAGATAAACAGCAGCCTGCAGCAAAGCTGCTCATTTGTTGTATACCGAGAGCTTTGGTCCAAACTGGTCCCTACTGTTTTGTCACAGTAAAGCTCAGTGTTTCAGGTTTGAACACGGCATAACAAGTTGCAGATAAGGATGAAGCCTGTGCCGCTCAAAACTCATGCTGTGGGCAGTTCTGGACTGTTCAGTTGAAGTGATTTGCTTAACTTGACCTCATCTGTGGATGCACAGCAGGTATTTGTCACAATGCCCATTCTCCTGCACCCATTTCAGGGCACTGTCCTTCTTTAATAGCTCTTTGTAAGGAGATTTCAGAGAGCCGTAAAGAGAGAGTCCTCCCCTCACGCTTGGGCACATAGCAGTGGTGGAGCCCCATGCCGCCACTTGCACTCTGCTCCAAGAGGTTGTGCAGTCAGGACAGTTGCGTAAGTGTGGCTCTGCAGAGTACCATCCATGTACTTCTTTACTCCATCCTCACCCTTCTTTTTTTTAAAATGCCACTTGTCCAGACATACAGCAAAACCCATGAAATGCAGCTTGACTGGACACACTTTGTAGCCAGCAGTTTGTACCACCTTCGCTCCTAGGGGTGTGTCTGCAGTGCCTTCTTCCCAAAAATGTCCTGCTGTGGTGTTTGGAAAGGTGCAGCTTCCCTGGTCCCAATAACAGGAAGAATGGCATAAAAAGCATTAGTTTCAGAGTTGGCTAAGAGAGAAATACTTGTATAGTACTTTTTAGTTCTTGTGTACGAGAGGTTTTATGGTGACTGAAAGAGACATGTCATTTGTGATGTACCTGGCAGTGACTCTATGGTACAAGTCTGCATGAGTTGCATACACTAGACTTTAAACTTTCTAATCCATTTTAAACCTTGTCCATATCCAAAAGTGGGGATGCTGCTAAGAGAACTGCCTGGCTAGGGGTATTTTGAGAATATCTTAGTGTTTATGTGACAATTCAGACATATGACAGCCTATGGTGGATACAGGCCAGCTGCATTGGTACCTACTCTTACAAATGTTAGCAACCAGTTGATTCTTTTTCTCCTTTCTTGCCTCTTAGTGGCTGTCTTATTCAGATGTTATTTATGGAGGATAAAGAAATGCCAGAAACAAAATACACGCAAAGACCTGGATGCAAATTCTTGTTGGTTTCTTTCATTAAGGCGCTTCCCAAACCAAGGCCAAAGCCCCAAAATGCAGAGCTCATTAAATGTAAATGAAGAATAAAGTTAATAGTCTTCCATGTTTCTTCCTTGTGATGCAGGTTAAAAAGTTGATTGTTTTAGACCCCAAGAAACGCCTCACCACTCTACAGGCTTTGCAGCACCCGTGGGTCACAGGCAAAGCAGCAAACTTTGCACATATGGACAATGCACAAAAGAAACTTCAAGAATTCAATGCCCGGCGTAAACTAAAGGCAAGTCTCTGTTTGCATGAAGGCATGCAATTAAATTAGTAGACTTACAGAAACCCTGCACACTTTTCAGGACAACATTCCGTAGTGATATGGGAGCTTTTTATTTAAGATGACTGATGAAGAAGTTGAAGCTGATCTAGTCGATGTCTGCAGCCAAACACATAAAAAGGTGTGAGGTTGATTGAAAGCTATGTCTACGAAGACAGAACTGCTGAGAATGTACATGGCTTTTGCAAATTCCTTACCTTTCTTCCTTCCTTTTTTCCCATCTTTCTTCCTTGCTTCTGTCTATCTGTCTGTCATGTTCTGCTTGCACATACTTAGAGCACTGACCTGAAAGAACAAAATTGTGAGTAGTTTCTTCATGAGCATCCAGAAATCCAGAGGATATTTAATCTACTATGGCATGTTTTGATCTGTAAGTCACTCTCAGTTTCTGTACCTATCAATATGAAGCAGGAGCTTAAACCATCCTTCTGTATGATCTAGAGTCAGCATTTCAGACATGTACGTCCACAAAATGTGTGGGATGAGATTAACAGGCCCAGAAAAATGTGCATTTCCAAGTACCTGTGAGAGCAAACGTACAATAGCATTCTTTGTCTGGAAATTAAGAGCTGCAAAACAAGAGTGCATGTGGGACTTGCGCTGAAAATATCATTAGGTTTTGAGTCACCAGTATGCTCCTTTACCATCTAGTCTACATATCTACCATGGGAAGAAGCAGGGAAACATTTTAGGTGCAAACGGCAGGCAGCTGGGAATCTAACTGACATAACATCAGGAAACTCTATTCTCCTCTAATCCCTTCTTCAGTTGTTAAAAGATCTGTGTCTGCTTAGGAGAGACTTCCAGGGGTACTTCAGCACAGAAATTACTACCAACAGTGACAGTGAAGCTGCCCTTGTAGCCCTGGGGAATAAAAGTAAAAAGCATCTTGTCTGCGAGCTTTTCAACCCCCATGCAAAACCAAATTCACAGACAATGACCCTAACTTCAGTTTTGCTCATTTTTTTCAGTATTATTAGGGAACTATGATAGAGAACCTCTACAGGGCAAAGAAAAAAGTTTTGTGATTTACAAAGGTCTCAGACACTGAAGATACAATTCACAGTGATGCTTTGCCCATGCAGAACTGACTAAACGTGTCTATTAACATTGTTCTCTTCAGAAAGATTTCAGAAAGATTTCTGTAGCCTTACAGCAGGATTGCTGTGTAAGCACTGAAGATGCCATATAACGTTGTTATATGAAAACGATTTTCTGAGTGAGCTGTTACATTCCCTGCCCAGGAGATCACAAAGATCACAAAGAAATGTGTGCTCTTTTTGCACGTTTTTAGTCTGATTCTTGTCATACATTTATACCTTTGATCACCAATGAGATTTTTTTGAAGTCCAGTTTTAGGTCTCTAGAATCATCCCATTTATACTTTTCTGTTTAAAAGCTGTTGCTTTTTATAAGTTATTTATTCTTTATAAGTTTATTCTCTTCTCTATAGGTTTATACTCTTCTTTATAAGTTTATTTCTTCATTGCTTTTCTATTAAAGATTAAGAAAACCGGATAGTGAATATGTGCTTTGGTTGTTGTTTTGTTAGTACGGATAATATAAAATTACTGATTTCCCAACATACAAGCCCAGCAGTAGGCTTTCTTTATGTAAAGACATGTTTTTATAGAATAACTCTAAAGGTCTCAGTCATGATTTGGTTCTTTAAAGATTGTGCTGAATTTGTTTCATAAGCATCCCCATGGCTAGTGAGAGTAAATTACATTAGAAGTATCTTTGTGCATTATAATATCATTGAGTGGCCTGTTCTGTTTATAATCTGGTGTCTGAAGTCTTCTCGCCACTAAAGTGGGTGTCTGCTTTTTCCTTTAAGAGCTCTAGACTCTACTTTCAAAATTATTGCCACTTTTATTGGGTCATGCCTTGTACTTTGACTTCATATTCTATGTTAGCTGATTCTTCTTTGTTGAGAAAGTTTATATAGTTTTGTTTTTTCATTAGCACCTTTTCTTTTCTTTTCTTTTCTTTTTTTCCCATGGTTACCGCTCTAAACCATCCACACAACTTCCTGTACTCCTCATCCCTTCCTGCAGACCCACTTCTTCTGTGATGCCTAAGCAAAAAGCTAGCCAAGTCAAAAATAGTTGTCACACAGAGAGATTAGTATTTCGTTTCCTCACCTCTGTGTGTTTTTTTCAGGCAATAAAACTCTTCAAGGCAAGGGCTGAGATAACTGTCTTAAGGCATGTCATCATTTTGTGACACCATATGTGATATGACAGCCTATGAGAGCCATGGAGTAATCGATGATAGTACTGTTATTATTATGATAGAAGATAACTTTCCTTTTGCCATCTAACTACAACACAGGAGATCTGAAGTAGTTTCTAAAAGCAGTGCAGCATGTGCAGCTGAAAAAAAATTCTGTTTGTGTTGGCCAGCTTGTAACCTTATGAAAGCAGCAATTTTAGACCTCAGTCCAGTATTTCAGGTGGCCTTCTAAATCTGCCCAGGCCCAGGTAGGTATCCAAATGTGACATTACCGTGAAGTCTAAATGCAGTTGCTTTCCCTGGAGGGACGATGCTAAGGCTGCAGTGCTGACAGACCGTGTCTTTTAAGGGGTGTTTGCTTGATCCTCTCTTTCTCAGGCTGCAGTAAAAGCTGTGGTAGCATCAACTCGCCTTGGCAGTGCCAGCAGTCACAGTGCGCACGACAGCAACAAGCCCAGCCGTAACCCGTCTCCTGTCCATGACGTCAAACCCGAAGAGAAACCCACTCAGGAAGCAGAAGCAGCTCCAGAAGAAATGTCTTAGGTCAATGTGCTTCCTTGTTTCGCTGAGACCTGTCATTTCATACACCAGCTAACTTGTCATTCAGCAAGAGAGATTCGTAAGCTTGGCCTCTCTGGTTCTGCTTTGGGGTGCCAAATGCACTGGCTGGTGATCCTACCTTCAATGCATGTGACTGCTTATGAAAATAGTAAACTGTTCCATAACGCATGTCATGGAAACAGTGTTATTTGCAGTAATACCGGCAGGTGAAAACATGGGGATGAATAACTACCTACCATAATGCGTATACTTCATACACATCTATCTAGTGTTTCTAGATGGCATTTGAAACAAAATACTATTTAATTTGGTTTTATGAATGTAGGTGTCTTCTGTATGTTGTGAGTTTCTTTGAACTGCTTCCTTCCAGATTCATAGTCTTGCAGTAGACGAAATGGAAGGAAATACTAAGCCAATGCTTTTAAAACTGATGTATGAAATAATGCTTTTTATCTGTAAAATTCAATAAGTATTTGGGGATTTATATGCAAAAAACATTCCACTACTTCTGGAAGGAATTGAAATGTTAGTTCCACTGGGCACAAAGATGTACGTTCCTCAAGCTTGTGTTGAGAATGCCTTACTCTGACTTTTCCTGTTTATATACAGTATTTTAATGACAACCAAAATTGCTCATATTTCTGCCATTTCATTCTCTACTAAGTGTTAGCAAAACAAAATGATAGACCAAAAGAGGACTAGAGTAGATTCAGATTTTTGAAATGCCATTATATTTATTCATTAATTTCTAAACTGTGCAGCTAGAAGACATTTTTATGGGCATAAGGGAATAATCTGCAATTACACAAGTTGTAAATGCTTGAAGGAAGCTGTTCCACATTGCAGTGATTTTGCTGTGGGGAAACACTCCTATACAAGATCTGGGAGCAAGTAGTACAGTCTGGTTGCTTCCCACATAGTTTAAACTGGTGAGTAACTGGTTTCCACTTGTCAGCACAATTAGTCCAGATTTTCCTAACAAAAGACCGCTCCCGTAAAGTGATCCACCAGCACAGATCTTGCATCCACCCAGAGCTCCTGTGTCTTTGAGTTGAAAGCTGTGTGCACGGATCAGCTTGCAAAATTAGGGTCAGGCTCTTCAGCTATCTTGATTTTTTGTTGAACGTATTTGATAGGAGTTGAAAAACTAACATGCATCAGTATGTATGACCGTTTACATTTGTTTGTTCTCACTTTGACAGCACGTGAATTTCGTAATGTTATTGATATATTACAGAAATGGCAAAAAGAACCTGATGTACAGCAATGTCATTTGTGTTTGTTAAACTTTTAAATACAGGTAGCTACCTAACATGCTAATAGACTCAACATTCCTCTTTTGCTTTAATTGTTCTTATGTTAAGTTAGGCCTTGCACAACTTGCCTTGAAAATCAGCTACCGAAGAAACAAGTCATCAATAAAACATTCAGTAGCTGCATTTCCTGATGAAATTAAAGGGTAATACAATGCTATTCATATGGTAGGTTTGATAAATAAAATATAATCTAGATTAATATAAAAAGGAAGATTAAAGACACTGTCTTTACTAGGTGAGAATGCATGCTAATGAGTGTATTGTACTTGAGATTTTTTAACATTTCTTGTAACTCTTTGAACTTGTACAGAGAGGTCTGCTAATTAAGTGCGATTGAAATTTAAAGTAAGTGCATCCATCCTTTTCTGAGGTGAAAAAGGTGAGGTCAGCTGAAACAACTGGCAGGTACATGGCAGCCATGAGCAGGCCAACAAGACACTTCTGTGGATTTTCCCTTGAAAACAAGTACAGTAAGACTGATCACTTTGGTGAAGGTGATCGGTAGATCCACCTGTCTCACTTTTTACTGTCCTGCTTATCTCCTGTGAGGTGACTGCAGGACAAATGCAGCCACAGGTCTCCTGCCCTGGTTACAGTAGTGAAGCCATCCGAGTTTGGTCGGTGGGGAGGTTTGACGGGAGAGGGTGGATTTCTGTAAGGTTTCCTCCTTTGTTTGGGATCGTTGCTTCTAATCTGCAGAAGTGGAGCCGGCTGCACAGTCATTGCGCATCTATGAGTGCTTGAGCAGAAGCGCTCTCTTCATCTGAGACATGGTTTGTTGAGCTGAAAAGTAGTCCCAGATGATTCTTACAGTTATTCTTTGCTAAATTATGCCATAGCGCATCATAAATGTGAACTGATGCCATGCAACTGGAGACATCTCTGTGACAGCATGATCCGGAGGCAGCTCAGTCTTGTGCATAAAGGCTCTGGGGCTTCAGCTGGTTTTGCTTAGTTTTGTTTTCTTATGCTCAGTGTGAAACAATCAGGATGTCTGTGCTGAATGAACTACCAGTACGTGACTCAGTAGTGTGCCTGGCTTGTGCATGACAGCACTATACAGAAAGAAAAGCAGCACCTGGGTGTATGCATGTAACGGAAGAAAGGAGCTTTATGTGCATTGCTTTTGTGTGAAAAATCACATCCCAGTGGCATCTGCCATAATCCAGGCTTGGGAGTGCAACACCAGCATCTTACTGTGGCTGAAAAATACGAACACACTCAAAAACTACTGGAGGTGGGCTGGTTCCACATCTGTGGTTATAAACTAGGTAGAAAATTAGTGATGCTCTTTTCTGTTGAAATCCTAAACTTTACATTTTTAAAACGTTCAACATTTGCTAATAAGTAAAGTCCTTGAAGTAGAAAAGGCAGAACGTTGCCATCTTTTTAAAGTATTTGAACTTAGGCTGAGGATCTGATGGCTGTTGAATGGCTAGTGATGTCCTGTCTTTGTGCAACATCAGGGTTTTTTACAAGTTCAGGAAAATTTACTCCAAAATAGAACAGATTTCCTGCCATTTCAAGCATTTTTGCTTGTGATTTGGCTGATGACACAGTGGGTTGCACTGCATGAGCCCAGTGCTGGTTTGTTAGCTGAAGTTTGAGCTTTGTGTTGCGCAAGCATGCTGTAAACACGCAGACGCACCGTAAGCAGACTTCTGAATGCAAAAGAGCATCAAGGCAAAAGCTCGTGACACGGCGTGTGTCTCAGAAGGGTGCTAAGGGCCCTGTCCCTGTGAGTGAGCAGGCTGTCGGGCACGTGGAGAGGAGTGGCCAAAGCTGCCCAGCATCCCCTTTGCAAGGACTCCATGCCTCGGTGAATAGAGTGAAGTGCTCTGAAAAGCCATGTGGTAGCAGAGCAGGGTAAAAGCATCAACCAAAAAGCGTCTGGGAGGGGCTCAGGTCAGCAGGGAGTCCCAGACTGGGGAGGCTGTGGCTCGCTGGCAGCCGGGCCTCGGTGCCTCCCAAATAACGATCCTTCTCCTGCAACTCACCCTGCGAGTGAAGCGCAGGCACGGCTAGCAGCCATGGTGGGTGGGCTGAGGACACTGCATTTCCCGCAGTCCAGCAGCAGGGAGGGGGAAGAAGGTGCTAGGAGTTGTCAGTGCCCAACTTCACGGATAAATAGCAGTATCTGCTAAGCAGCAAATGCAGGAGGACTCTGGAGAATAAACACCCCTTTCCAAACAGCAATTGGCAACTTTCCGACAGCTCCCGCACACATCTGTGAGCCCTGAGTTTCACAGAGCCCTGCAGTGCAGCTCTCAGGGGTTTTTTTTAAGAGTGGTGTATGAAAGCACAGGATGGAGGACTGGCAGCAGATCCTTGCACAGTGTTGTGCATATTACCTGCTTACAGGGTGATGGACACTCCCAAATCTCAGTGCAGTGCCTTGGCCCCTGGCTTGTGCAGAGGCTGTGTGTTTCTCCTAGCGGAGAGCTCAGTTCTGTGTGGCTGAGTCTACCTTGTTCCTGCTCAGGTTAAAAGTGTGTAGCTTATGTAGACATGGTGTTCAAGTAACAATATCTTGTCATGTGGGAGAAATGCAGGAATGAAGCTGACCAAGCAAGACGCACAGTTGGACCTAGAGCACAATGGCAGGGACACAAGCAAGTCCTGAAGATACCAAAGGTAAACAAAGAGACAGTTCAGAACATCCTTAGAAGTTACTTTATGAAACAATAATAGCTCAAAGAATATCCTTTCCTCCCTTTCAGAGTAATGTCAGTTAGAATACACAACCACAACAGTGTTAATTCTGCTTTTGTATGAAGAAATTTAGCTTCCCTGATAAGCCCCTGCACAAACCACGCTGCCTGGAACAAAAACCATCAGCTGCATTGCAAAATAAGAAGAAAATAAAATTATAAGGAATAAAGAGGAGAAAAATAGGCATAAAATAATTACCTAGTCTAGTTATATCTGGAATGTAAAGATCTTACTTCCAGAACATGTATAAACTTCTACTGACAAGACTCTAGATTCTCCCACATAAGCAAAACTTTGCTTTGTGCCTGAGAGGTAAAAACTTCTGGCCAGAGTAATTCAGTGAAGATTGATGGAGGGCCAGTGCAAATATGGAGCGCATCCCTGGAATATGAATCCTCTAACTTACATAAGGATGGAATAATGTACGTGCATATAACCAAAAATCCAGCGAAAGAAAAAAAGAACCTGCACTGCATGCTCTTCTTCCCCTCCAGAGCGGACCAGAGAACATGAACACAGTCATGAACTTAGTCATTATTGGAAGGCTTTCAGGTGTGGTGGGGATAGGTATAGTACAGAAGCAGGAACAGAATGGAATAGTCAAAGTGTCCCAATTCTGAACTTACCAATAAAATTATAAATACATATTTAAATATATATGTGTACACATACACACAAATATATAAATTTATCAGAAGAGAGGCAGAGACTGCAGAACAGGCTTTTTAAGAGCCATGTCTTCATTAACAGTGGCAGTAACCTTTTAAGCCGTCTTTTGTCCTTTGCCAGCATTACTCTGCTGGAACTGAATCCATAGTGTTTCACATTCTGGTATACATGGATCATCGCTGGATGAAATTCAGTGTGACGGATATCAAGGTATGAAAGATTAATAAATACAGTGGTACAAAGTTTTCCTGAGCTTTTGCTCCTTCGTACCAAGACACAGCTGGGAGAAGAATGCTGCAGTGCCCTCGTCCTTTGGCATGCTCAGGACATGGGCCAAAGCGGGGTGACAACACAAGCAGAGCATTTTGTGAGGGGTTAGAGCTGCCCTAAACGCACCAGAGGCACTTGCCCAGCAATGCTCAATCCACAGCACGTGTGACCGAGAACTGACAGTTTAACCCTTAACTTTTTTATCAGGAAGATGCTTGCTGGCCAAGGTATATTAAACAGCATGTGTTTGCTCCTATTAAGTATCATAGAAGTCCTCTCATAGTATGAGCTACTTTCTTCTGTCCACTTGAGAAGCTGCAGCATTCCAGAGCTTTATGTGGCAATCCATGAAGAGCAAAGCTTAAAAGAAGGGGATCTTCCCTGTTTTTTCCATTTGAAACTCTGGTTTCAAGAACAAGTGTTAACATGCATTCATGGCCAAATGGCTTGTTGTTTTTCTTCCCCTTTATGCTTCATCTTTTTTCCTGGCCCTGGACGCCACGGGAGCACCGAGGAAGAGCTGTCAGC